TGCAAATCGATTGCACGCTGTTCATTTCAATTTTCTGTTGGTTCTATTTTATGTACAATCGATTGCACATGTATGCAAATTGATTGCACCTGCTCTAAATTACTTTTTTGACAGGCTTTTATGTTGGTCAAAATTTATCTCTCTCTCATATTCCCAAGTTCACCTCCACTATTGACAAATCAATTAAATATCATTGACTATATTAAAACCCATTCATCACTATCCACTCATAAATCTTATCCAAATTCATCTCATCAAATATCTACTTCTCAAAATCTACCAAACCCTAAATTCAGAAAAACACCTTCCTTATGGCATCCAGACAAAAACGAAAAGTGTCAGCTACAGAGAAAGGAAAGAAGAAAGTTGCTTCACTTCTGCAGAAAATCCATTAGTCTCAACTCTCACTGAAGTTCAATAAACAAGGTTCAAAAGGGATTTTCAAAGGAAGATAGTGTCCACTCCAAAATATGGCATGCTATCATCTTTCCCTCAAGAATGCTTTACTTTTCAGAATAATTTGACTGCATATGGATCAGAACCACTGATTTCATCATTTGGTCCATACTATCTAGATCTAGTAAGAGTGTTCTTCAGTAATTTGGCTACTTACAAAGGCAAGTTTGTTACATATGTGTTGGGCACAAGAATTTCTCTAACCCTTGAAATTCTTGGTGAGATTCTACATATCCCTCATATTGGGAGCTCTTTGTGTAATCTTGAAGACGAAGCATGGGATGATTACAAGAAAAAGTATTTTTACTACAGCATTGGAAGATTGAACGAAGCTGAATTCCGTGCTAAAAGAATTCGCGGTCTAGGAGGAGTCATTCCATCTAGAGACTCTTGGAGTGCAGGTAACTTTTTTTATCGATGATAGGCTATTTCACTATTTCATGGTCTACATTATGTTTCCGCGGGCTGGAAACCACTGCACTGTGACTGATTTGGAAATGAAACTGTTATACGCAAGGAAAAGAGGTATAAGCGTCAATTGGGCACAACTTATAATGACTCGTATGCTAAGGTTTGATGCAAAGTCAAAATTCCTACCATATGCTTACTTTATTACTCTAATTATGGAAGAATTTGGAATTGATTTTGTCGGTTTTGAAAGAGTTGATATGGATCCAAATGGTCACAGGATCTCAATCAAAAATGTTGATTCATGAATGAGAGTTCACTACAATTCAGAAACAAAAACAATCACATACATTAGTGAAGATATGGTTGGTGACGAAGGAAACAATCAAGAGGAAGAAGGCGGTGATGTTGCACCTCCTCCACCTACTGCTCCCTCTTGTCCAAGTAATTAAGATGTTATAGATTTTATGACTCAACAATTTGCTTTCGTCAACACCAACATCAACCACCAGTGGAATGCCATCAATGACTCCACGACATCTCAGATTAATGATTTTCGCTCAGATGTGAACCAACAATTTTCTTACCTCTACTCTCACCTTCACATACCTCGATATGAACCTAATAATCCTGCTGTACCTCCACCACAATACACAGAACCTCTATTACAACAACAATTCTCCAATCAAGGACCCTTCTTCTATAACAACCGTGACATGAATCAACCTTAAAATTATGTTTAACTTTGTTATTTCTACTGTTTTTATGTTATGTCCTTGTTACTTTATGCTATGTTTTGTTTGTTGCTTTTGAGATTTCTATGTATTTGTTATTCTACTATGACATGTATTTCTATGACTATGTTTAATTAGTGCATGTTTTGGTTAAGTTTTCAATGTTATCCATTTTTATTGCATCTTTCCCTTCTTTTTGGTAATGTCAAACGGGGAGAAGGATGTGGCACTTTATGCTTGTTTATTTCCTGTCTTAAACTTCTAAGTTACTCTTCAACAAGATGAATAATTTCAAGAGTTTCCAACCTTCTCATATAAGGGGGGAGTTATACATTTTAGGGGGAGAAGTCTCTTTCCGGAAATAACAAAGCTTCAAGAAATATTATATGTCATCATCAAAAAGGGGGAGAATGTAATATAAAACTTCTCAAATGATTCTCAATGCACTTTGGTTTGATGAAGACAAACTGTATTGGCAAGAAGGCAAAGATTTTGATCAAGCTAAAAGCATCATTGGATAAAAGACTTTGTCTCAAGTTCTTAGAAAATTTCACAAGGTATAATGACAATACTTACTTTGAACTTAAGTCTTAAATGCTCAATGATCAAAAGAAGTGTTTTATCTTGTCCAAACTTTTTCTCAAGTTTTCTAAAGCAAAAAATCAATTTTCACTTATGTGCAATCGATTTGCATGTTGGTGCAATCGATTGCATGTTTCACGTTTTCAAAGTGTTAGCTATTATTTTTAAGTGCAATCGATTTGCATGTTTGTGCAATCAATTGCTCTCTATCAAATTTTGATACTGTTTTAAGGTGAAATCGATTTACACACATGTGAAATAAATTCCTCACTGAAAATATTTGAATTTTTTAGCTGTTAAAACCCGTGAAATCGATTTACACAAGGATGCAATCGATTGCATGCTGAACGATTTTGAAAATCAGCAGCTTTGAACATACCTTTTCATAACACCATTTCATGGAAACTTTTCATTGAATCTTGGAAATTGTTCATGATTCATTTGTAGAAATTTATGCTATTTCAAAGAGGTGCTATGAACATATAAATACTGAATTTTAAAAATCATTTTATACCTCTTCCAATCAATAGTTTCTGAATTTTAAAATATTAAAACTCAAAGCTTTTTCTTCACTTTCATAAACAAAGTTTTTCTGCACATTTTCATATATTGTTAAACATAAAACTTTGAGCATTCTATAGTCTTGATTCATTGTATATTATTGTTATTGGAAGAGAAGATCAAGTCATTGATAAAATCACTCAAAGTGATTATTGCACTACAAACTCTATCAATCAAATATTGCTATACACTTTCTTATTTTTCAGGATTGTTGAAAATAAGTTCAAGTGGTTTTATAATCTTGTTTTTCTAGGATTGTTGGATACAAGTAAAGTCACCTTGAGAGGATTGTTCTCATTGTTGACATAGTGAAAATCCAAGAGGATTGTTCTTGGTCCAAGAGGATTGTTCTTGGTTTTGGTAGTTCTTGTTTTAAGTTTGCCACTATAAGGAAATCTTTTTCATGTTGAAAGGGGGCTGAAGTACTCTTGGACTATGAGGGGAGCCAGGATATATCACTCATGTCTCTTTATTTTTCTGCATTTTACTCTTTCATAAACACACCATAAACCAGAAAAATATTATCCATCATCACTAATAATGGTGGTTCCATAAAGAACGAGCATTGAAGAAACAAATACTATTAGATCATGATAAATAATAAATCAAATAGGAACTTACTTGTATTGAGAAGAACATGCTGGAACAATAATGAATGTTGCAATTGAACAACAATGAAGGCTGCATTTGAGTAGTAATGAAGGTTTGCAGTTAAATAACGATGAAGGTTATAGAGGAATAACATTTGAGTTGGACATGATTATAAAAAATTTGTTTCGAGCTTGGAAAAAGTGATAATAAACCATTTTACCACATTTTATAAATACATTTTTATATGAATAAAGAATCACAAAGGATTCAAGATTTGGCTGGGTCGTTAACTAGCCAATCTAGATGTGCCATGCCATCAAAAAAGCATCGTTGCATCCAACAATCACGATTACATCTTGATCAATTGAAAGAAATAAATGTTTGCGTCACCCAAAGACACTTAACCTTAAAGCCTATAATCCATGTGTTAGTGAAGAAAGTGTATAAGTTGGTTCAAAACACGTAAGCATCACAACCCTTCGCATACCATCAAGAGTAGAAATGATGACGAATCCTGACATAATATTAAGACTCCAAGGACCCCTAGGACCAACAAAGAACGTGTGACATCCATAACACGCATCTCAATATTCCTCAAAAGAAGGCTTTCAAGGCTAAGTCAATCGTCCAAAACCGAAAAACCAACAACATACTTTATAGTCTCTTCTCAAATTCATAGGTCGTCAATGTTCCCAACACCTCATGACTTACAATGACTTCTCATACGATATTACTCTTATCAAAGGACTCATCCTTCGAGGGATAAGACAATTATGAATTTGAAGACTAGTCATAATCAGCTTCTCCAGCTAAAGGCTTAATGGGAAACTGTTCAAACTAGGGAAAATCCCAATTTGAATTGGGCCGAATCGCCAAAATCACATGAACTTAGGCAAATTAGAGAACGGACACGCCTAGAGGCACGGTGAATCAGGGTCGACCGACCCTTGCATGTCGTTAGATAAAAAAACTTAAATAAAATCTTGACATTTGTCCAATGAGATTTATTCTAAAGAAGGTTCTATGGTCTCTAAACCCTAAACCTTTTTGTAAAACCTAACTTATGATTCAAGTTCAGGCACACATAATTCTAAACCCTAAATCTTATAGTCATGACTTTCAATGACCTAATCGTCAGAGTGTTTTCATGTGCATCTCTCACTCTCAAACTCTACAGAACGATGACCATCAAACAATATCTTGTATCATCGAGACATAACAAAGGTCTTAAAATCTGACCTGATCATATATTTTGCTTGAAACTTAAAAGATTTAAAGAAAAAGAATAAAGAAATTCTAAACGGTACATTACCAAATAAGAAAAGAAAATTCTTAATAAATGACACAAGAAAAAATAGAAAACTAAATAATTGGGTAAATGATTTCTAGAGAATGAAGTGCCAATCTAAAATAAAGAGAAAATAAAATATAAAAAATTGAAAATATATAAAAGCATAAAGATATAAAAATGGAGAATTACTTTGCATAGCGCCAAAATTAGTTGAAAGATAGATATTTTTCCATTCCCTTTTCTCTACACCATTACTCTTCTCTTATCCACCAAAATCCTCCCAACTTCAAATTCTACAGAATTGCACCATTTTCCAACCACTTGCTCTGCATAGAGCAAAACACAAAGCTAAATAGTTTGTTGCTCTAACCAAAGCTATGTCATCTTCTTCTCCATCCCCAATATCTGCTACATTCTTCTTCTCTAATCCATCATCAATCCCTAGACCTCGAACTTCACCTTTTTCTGTACTAAACACAAGAGCTATGACCAAAGACCTTTATTTCAACCATGATGGTTCAACCACTAAGAAGCTTCTTGTATAAATTGATTCTACACTTCACTTTGTTTATCTATTTTCATTTCACAAGAAGTTATTAATTGAATGAGTTAGTAAATTGTTGATTGTGGTGCAGGCAGGGGTGGAGTTAGCAGCAGAGCTCCTTGGTGTTACATTGGGACCTAAAGGAAGAAATGTTGTATTGCATAACAAGTATGGCCCACCTAAGATAGTAAATGATGGAGAAACTGTTCTCAAAGAGGTTTTCTTTCTTTCTTTCTTTTTTTATTCATTCTTTCATTCACATTAGTGTTAGTGTATCTTTTAAAATTGAATAGATTAAATGATGGAGAAACTGTTCTCAAAGAGGTTTTGTGCTGAGTTTATTTCAGATTGAATTGGAAGATCCATTGGAAAACGTTGGAGTGAAGTTGGTGAGACAAGCTGGGGCAAAAACCAATGATTTAGCTGGTGATGGCTCAACTACATCTGTTATTCTTGCTCATGGCTTAATCAAAGAAGGGGCAAAAGTACATATAACAAGCCTCACATTCCACTTTATGCTTATGTCGCAAATTGTGTTGACATTAAAAAGGGTCTTCTTGAAGTTTATGCCCTTTTCATTCCCTTGTAGGTTATTGCCGCTGGAATGAATCCTGTCCAAATTGTCCGTGGAATTGAGAAGACAGCAATAGCACTTGTTTCTGAACTTAGTTTGATGTCTAGAGAAGTAAACTCTACAATCTAGTTTTTTTTCCTATCATTTTTGTTAAAGAAATTCATGGCTAATTCTGCAATTTTAGAATCATAATCAAAACTATTTGACTTCACTTTAAAAAAAAATTGGACAAAATTATTGTTAGTTGTGGTGGCACGATTGAGTAACATCTTGTGAACAAAATTAGCTGGCTTCATATGATGATTTAGTTATGGATTTTTTTCTTCCTGTTAATTTTCTCTTGTAGTTGGAAACTCTTGCTGAATTCTGAAACATTGTTTATATCTATAGGTTGAAGATCATGAACTTAAAGATGTTGCAGCAGTAAGCGCGGGGAACGATTATGTAGTCGGAAACATGATTTCTGAGGCTTTGCAACAAGTAGGAAGAAAAGGAGTAGTAACAATTGAAAAAGGAAGGAGCATTGACAATACTCTAGAGATTGTAGAAGGAATGCAATTTGATCGCGGATATCTTTCTCCATACTTGGTGACAAATAGAAGAAAGATGACGATTGAACTTCACAACTGCAAGGTGACACAATTTTAGTATATAAAAAGCGTCACATGAATTCTATAAAATGATTAGAAGGTGCGTGAATCTCTTGTTGCAGTTGCTATTAGTTGACAAAAAGATCAAAAATCCGAAGGAGCTGCTTAACATATTGAATAGTGCAGTAAAAGAGAAGTTTCCAATTTTGATAGTTGCAGAGGGAATTGAGCAGGATGCTCTTGCTCCAATTATTAAAAATAAACTCAGAGGTGTGCTTAAGGTTGCTGCTATTAAGGCTCCTGCATTCGGTGCGCGCAAGAGTCACTATTTAGAAGATATTGCCATCTTGACAGGAGGTATAAGATCAATGATCATGTCAATAGTAGAGGAAATGTTAATTTGTCTCTTTTCTTTCCGAACCAAGTTGTCAACAACATGAAAACGAAAAACAAATAAATGAAGTACTAATTCTCATTTTTATCAATATGGTAAAACACATGGTGGAAGAAAGCCTCACTAGCTTCTACTCACAGTCTTCATTCATTTCATTTGCATTCTTGGAACTTTTCAGGTACTGTAATAAGAGAAGATATGGGTTTCACTTTAGAAAAGGCTAGCAAGGATATGCTTGGTTCTGCTACCAAGGTGGTCATAACAAAAGATTCTACCTTAATAGTCACAGACGGGAGTACTAGAACAGCTGTTGAGAAGAGGGTTTCTCAACTTAGGAGCCTTGTTGAGGTGCAGATACAGAGAGAGAACTTTTCGATTACAAAATTATCACTTCATTGTTCTATAACTTTAGAAGTAATATATTTTGTAGAATACTGAAGAAAATTTTCAAAAGAAGATATTGAACGAAAGGATAGCAAGATTATCAGGGAGCATTGCCATTATTCAGGTAACATAAATTTCTTTCATTTTATTTTCTCTTGCGGTATCAGGAATTTAAAAATTCTGTTTCTATTAAAAGTACTAGTTCATTTACATTTCAGAGGCTGAAATCTATATTATAGGTAGGTGCACAAACACAAGTTGAGTTGAAAGATAAACAATTAAGAATAGAAGATGCCTTAAATGCAACCAAGGTAGTTCCTTTTCTTTTTGCTTTAATGAGGTTAGTTTGAAGCATTGATAGTTTAGTTTGTAAGATCAATTTTTGAACATTTCAGGCAGCAATTGAAGAAGGTGTAGTAGTTGGTGGTGGCTGCAGCCTTTTAAGGCTGTTCAAGAAGGTAGATGGCATAAAAAATCTCTTGGACAATGAAGAGCAAAAGGTAAATTATCTGTTTCTTACAACTAAGTTCTCCGTCATCATGTTTAAAGATCTATGAAGTACAAGCTGTGATACAGATGCCAGACACGACACTGGTTCATTGATACCAGTATTAATTTGAAAATATGGAATGACTGAATCTGAAACGTAAGAAAATGTTGGTGTTGTTTAAGTGTCGGACACCGGACACGATTCAATCTGAAGTGGCCTTCTGTTGCGAGCATTCTTTTTGGTTTGTGCCATTTTGTTCATTGGAAAATAAGGAAAACTTGTTTGCAATGTTATGTGTAGATTGGAGCTGAAATCTTCAAAAGGGCTTTGAGCTACCCTACAAGAATGATAGCAAAAAATGCCGGCGTAAATGGCAATGTTGTCATAGATAAGGTCCTGAGGATGTTGAGAAACTGTTTTCTGTAAGAGATTGATTATTCAATGATAATTTCGATCTTTAGTAGCGTTTAATTAATTCAACTCAACAAAATATCTTATGTCACGCAGGTTTTATCAAATGATAACATGAATTTCGGTTACAATGCTGCTAGAGACTGTTATGAGGATCTCATGAAGGCTAGAATCATGGATCCAACAAAGGTGATATAAACATTTGATTGCCTTTTACAGAAGATATAAGTAAATCTAATCAGTATAGTATTTAAGAAGCTCTTTTACTTAGGTTTTCTCATAGGAACCTTTTATGTTGAAAATGGTGCAGGTAGTTAGGTGTTGTATAGAGAATGCAGCTTCTGTGGCCAAGACATTTCTAACATCAAATGCTGTTGTGATTGACCGCATGGAATTACAACCACCATTACATCGTAGAAGGCCCATGCCCATGCCTAGAAATCCTATGCCCATCATGCCTAGAAAGCCCATGACGAACATGCCTAGAAAGCCCATGCCTAGTTCAGGTACTTAAAAAAGGTCACTCGTGTCAAATTTCACAAGTGGATGTTTGACTGATAGTGAATTCAACAAAATCACAGTAGCAAAAACTACATTTTTCAGTTTCAACACAATCACATGCACGTGCATTTTGCAAAGCCATAATGGGTGACATTATTGATGTTTGTTAATTCAGGTTTAGGACCAATAGGCTTTTAAAAAGGAAAGATGCACAGTTAGTTCTTCTTCATTAGAATCTGGTTTTCTACTTACCATCCAAGTATTCAGGAAGAGCAATAAAGAAGCGTCAAGAAACTCAATTATGCTTTGCACAAATGGTGGCATTGGTCCACCAGGGACACCAAATGAAGTTTATAGGAGTAAAATTAAAATTGGATCTCACTAGCTTCAACTTTAAGAACTATACCAAAGGGCAAAAGGAAAATGCTTACCTTGTGGATTTGGGAACCAACTGTATTAAAACCATTGTAGAATTATTATCAAATTCATTGAACTTTTGTTTCAGATCAGAGACAATGGAAATTTTAAAGCCATTGATCTTTGTCATCACTTCTACTCTTGTCAATCTACAATAAAAAGTGAAGTTTCCCTATTTTGAACTAACTTTACACTTCCTTTACTGACACATGGATCCTTGACCAAGGTGTAATCATGATCGTTGGATGGAATGGAACAACAATTTTTTCTCGAGGACATGGCACAGTCACATTAGTATGTGTATGTCCACGACCTTTTTAGATCCTCATTGTTTCCAAGCGTTGGATATGGAATCATTCCCAACCGTTGGATCTTCAATTATTTAGCATTCTTGAATCAGATAAAAAATGTGTTTATAAAAGGTGTCAACGCTAGTGCAGGAAAGACTTTTTACATCGGACGAAAAGTACATTTTACATCAGGTATGGGTACGATGTAAGTTCAAGCGATGTAGTAAATCGAAGACATTTTATATCGGGCAATAGCCCGATGTGAAAAATCTACATACCACACCGGTTGAATGTTAGGTCTGATGTGGAAAAAAAATACAATTTAAAAAAAATATATATGGGTTTTAACATCGGTTACCTCAATGGTCCGATGTAATATATATGTTTTAACATCGGTTGCCTAAATGGCCTGATGTAATACGTTTGCTATTTTTTAGCAGAATCGAGGTGAATTCCCTGTAATTTTTATTTGTACCTAATTTTTCATATTTAAGTTAGCATTTTTTTCATAGGTTCTCAGGGGTCAGAACTAAATTCTATATATGATTCTTATTAAGGTAGCATTTGGTAGATGGATCCAAAACAAAACACAACATATGATCCTCACGAGTATTCCACTTATTACAAATTAAAAGAAGATCAGAACATTACATACAGATACACAATTACATCATAGTGATGAAGACATCATTACATGAAAAATCATAACAAAATTACAGAAGAAGTTTCCAAGTGACATGCAGTTTCCAAGGTATCATACCACCAGTTCCAACACACGGTTGCTTATCAGCCACGTCGATCTAAAACCTGTGCAAAAACAGAACAAATTAAATCCTACAAAGATATTATAATTGGAATTGAAATAGCAACTGTAACAACAAACAAAAATAAAATTCTACATAATAAAACACTCGCACTTGACACAACACACCTTCCATTAGAAGTGTTAATGCTTCTAAGGTTCTACATACATACATGCATATTGAGATTTTCAACTAAATAATGACTTACAAAGGACCTTCCTTCAGCTTGTTCAAAAGACCGTCTTGAACAAGTGAATCAATACCAACACCGGTAATCGCGGAACTCTCTCCATTCGCTATAAAAATAACAACAACAGTCGATTTCAAATCCGACTTAGTTTCACCAAACTTCCTCATGAGTTCATCAACAAGTTCCACATGTCCCAAACAATCCATAGTTCCACGACCCCTAAGTTATCACCATCGATACTCAAACTAAACGGATCAAAATCCTTCACATTAACACAAAATACAACACAATTAACATAAAATTAAAAATAAATTAACAGTAAATTAACAATAATGAACGAATAGAGAAATACCTAATTGTTAGGATTTGTAGTGACAACATCCATGTGGTGGCCAACAAAGGAGAGGATCTTACCGGGAACGGTTCCGGGAACGATGATTATTGACGGTTAAGAATACCTGATTTTTGGAGACAAGGACAAATGTTCCTATATTCTCAAGGACCTAACATGGGTGATTAGAGTTTTGTAATGGCCTGTTCCGAAGAACGTGAAGGGAGTACGAGGGTTTCTTGACCTCACCAGATACTATCGAAAATTTACTAAAGACTATGGGAAGACATCCAAACCATTAACAGAACTCACAAAGAAAGTAGCTTTCAAGGAAGAAGAAGAAGTATACCAGAATGCGGTGGAAATACAGGTGGTCGTGGCAGTTGGCTGGGTCGCGAACGAAGGCGGCAAACGAAGTCGTGGGCGAGAGGAAGAATCGAAATGGGTTTGTAAGGCAAAAATGGTTTTCGCTGGGAACAAAATCGCGGAGAGGAAGAATGGAATACGGCGGAAATATGTTTATAAGGAAGAATAGGGTTTTGTGATATAAGGACATTTTTACATCGGTTGGAAAATTGGCCCGATATAACGGTCAGTTCATCTATTTACAAAACTGTCACCGTATTTTTATTTTTTTTAGGACTGAACTTTTTATATCTGTTGGAAAATTGGCACGATGTAATGTGTAATTTATCTATTTACAAAATTGCCACCGTGTTTTTATTTTTTTAGGATTAAACTTTTCACATCATATATTTTTATACCTGATGTAAAGACCTTTTCTCAAATATCATATTTTTAGTAGTGCAAAGTGATTCATTCACACTCATTGACGGACTGGAATTAGGTAAGTTTAGGGAGGGAAAGGCATGGTGCCTTTCTCTCTATCTCTCTCCAATATTCCTCTCTCTCATCCTAATTATTATGTTTATTTTATTTAGTTTTCATTCAAAACATCAAAAAATGCACTAAAGACACATTGTCTTTCCCTCCCTGAAGTTAACTAATCTCAACCCCTTATTGACACTTTTTTTCTTGGTGACATGGCATAATCACATTGGTATGTTCAAGTAAAGACCTTTTAAATTATGGAGTATTTCAACGGTTGGTTGGATATGAGATCATTCTCAACCATAAAATATGTTTATTCCCCATATCCTCCCTTTTTTTTCCATCTTTTCCACTTTCAAAAATTCCATTGTTTCTCAACGACATCTTTATTCCAACTTCTTTATGTGAAACTCAGGGCCGACCCAAAACAAGGCTCAATCATACACTTGTTTAAAATGAGATAAACTATTCATGCTTCTAACTAGTCGATGGTTTTTTTCTCCACTATTTCTTTCATGATAATTGTTGTAAAAACAATGTCGGAATAATAAAGTATAACACTACTACGGAAAAGTCATTCAACAACGATTGAAAAAGATATATAATCACGCAGGACCAGACGTTGTAATGTAGCGTGTGTTTATTGTATATGTGTTACTTACAATTACGGTCCAGGGACCATTGTAGAAAACTGGAAAGTGAGCATCCTATCACAACGGTTAATCCAAAGAACATTTGTGATATACATAAAGGTCTATGGTTATTCTCAGCAACGCCATTTTGGTGTTTATATTATTCTGGACAGTGCGCAAGATATTACAACGGTTATGTTATTTAACTGTTGTGAAACATCCTGCTGAAGTAATAAATTTAATCACGCTTTTAAAATTTTCCCCATTTTTTAACCTGTATTTAATGGATCATATCACAGTAGAACAATCTCAGCAAAACAGATAATTTGCATTTGTGACATAGTTATTATAATAATAATAATTGTATTATAATAACAATAAAAATTGGATTAAGAATCAAAATTTGTATATTATTTCAAAACCAAAATGTCACAATTAAAACAACCTCTTGTTTACACATTGCAAAATATCACATAAATGTATCTTGGTGTTTTAGTGTCTTGTCTCTTGGCGTCTTGACATATCAATACCTATGATTTCCAATAACCATACTTACATTAGTAAAAATACGTAGAAATTATAACATACAATTAATATATTATAAATTAATAATAACATACTTACTTGTTAATTTTTCCATATGCCTTCTTCATGATCGATTCGAATAGCATGCACAACATCTCCATCAACTTCATCATATGAGGTAGGAACTTGTGTTGTGTAAGAAGGAGTGGACGAAATATCAAGACTTTCATCACTAAGAGGAATGTGTTTTCCCTGGAGAACTATTGATTATTTCCCCGATATATCGGAAGAGTCGGTCATATAGAAAACTTGTTTTGCTTGAGAAGTCATGATGAATGGTTTGGTCATAAAAGTTTCCCTGCCAAGGTCAACTCGTGTGAATCCTAAGTCATCAATGTGTACACCATTACTATTATTGGGAATCCACTTGCATTTAAATATAGGCACTTTGAAAATAACATAATCAATCTCTCAAATCTCCTCAATGACACCATAGAAAGCGGTATTTGCCAATACATGATTCTTATCTTTCGAACTAGAGAAATACATCGATTCGGCTTAAGCCGTAACCCCACTATTTTTCATTGTACTACGACCATCTTTTGATTTTGTATAAGGTATAACGACCAATGTCGTATGCAGTCCAAGTTATGACATTAAATTTTGGCTCGCATGACAACCACTTAAGTATCTCGGAGGCACTACCATCATTAGATACCCTTTTATTAAACCAATCTATAAATCTCTTGCTCTACTCTATCAATAACAACTTGTCGCTCATTCGGGGATATTTTTTCTTCAAAAGTATCTTGTGAGTATTTACGTAAGGTTGCACTTCATCAATATTTTTCAATATATAGAAATGTGCTTGAATAACTACATCACAAGCCATTTATGTAACATTTAGACCTTGAATACCTCTTATGTCTACGTGATCAACATGACGAGACTTTGGAATGCCTATAGAATCTGCTTCGGACAAATAGTTTGTATAAAACTCAACATCTTCTTCAGTGATGTATCTTTCAACAATCGAAGTTTCTGGACGGTGATGATTCTTCGTATATCCTTTAAAGATCTTCATATATCGCTCTATTGAATACATCAACCTTAAATAAATTGGACCACAAAATCTGATTTCTCACACTAGATGAACAAGTAAGTGAACCATAATGTCAA